ATTAAAAATATATTCTTATAATTACATTATTGTATTATGCACATTAATGCTTTTACTTCATCATGTAATAAAACTGGTAAAACTGGAAGATGATTGATTGCAAAATATCAGTTTAATATTTTTTTAATTTCAATACGTTTCTAGTAAATAAATCCAAAAATATTTAAAACACAAAAAATTAATATAATCATCGTGACTTGATAATATCCTGGCGCCTTTGTTATAGATTATATTGCCAGATTATAATTTAAAAAATTAATAATAATAATTAAATAATTTGATTTAATTAACTTGTCGCGTATAAATAATAACATCACAAATGTATACAATCCGTATAAATATTTACCACGATCAATTCTCTTCGCAAATGTATATGGAAGATATTTTTTTTTATATTCTCAACTTTGCGACAAAAATATTTTTAATTTATATTTAAAAATATCACTCGGTTTTTTCAGATATTTTCTTTTTTCTCGCAAAATATTCTATAGTAATATTATTTTATATTATATATTTTTAATGTAAGTTTTACAAGATTTTACGTTGACGACTCGTTTTTAAAATAAAAACTTGTACCATCAACATACATGATATATTGACCGATATTGGCAGATGTTAATTAAGACGCTCGCGATACTTTTGGTATTTTGAGTGAACATGCTATCATTTACTTTGCGGCAGCTTGCTCAACGCGAAAGTTACATACATATGTTGTAGGTCTTCCTTGCAGCCCTCACACCCGGTAGTAAACCGATCCGTACTCTATTCGGTATATCGAGTTACCACGTTGTTACGCGCTGCGACCGGAGAACCGGTCCGGACTCTCTCTATGATGGACTTATCGCAGTGAGCGGCTCCGCAGCATGAACCGCGAGAATATTCCGTTGTGCTGGAGGGATGCGAATTCGGGATTATCGCTATTTTTCGCCACTTTGTGCATCGTTGACATTTTCGGTGTGTTTCCGATAATCGCGCTACCGCGGTCGATCGTCCAATGCGGTGAGTCTTGCACTTTCCATAAAAAAGATTGCACTAAAATGTTCATCGAAGAAAAGATTATTACAAGATATTTTGCGAGAAAAGAAGAATCGAGTTCTAATTAGAAATCAAAGATATGTGTCACAAATTTAATTCAATATCAAAAAAATATATACTTAGAGAAGAATTCTATAAACTATAAACATTTGTTTGCAATGTTATTATATGCGATAAGTTAATAAAAAATATCGGATAATAATTATTAATTTCTATTCTAGTAAAATATAAAGATGCCAGCACAATTTCTTTTTCTTTGTTAATATTCTCTATATATTTGTATATATATTTCTCTATATATTTCTATATATTTCTCTGTATATGCTGTATATATTTTATTCTCTAATTATACACATTGATAAACCGCTACAATTTTTATATGTAGAAAAAGGGACACGGTGTGTAAAATTTTAAAAATATGTATTAATAAAAAATATATATGATGTATATCTCTCATTAGGATTGTACGGGATTCCTCTGGTGCTCATTGTCTTCAGTTTACAAATTTATACGGCTATTCTCTTGGGAAGGTCATGGATCATCGCGAGTACTCTGGATCCACAGATTTTACGAAAAAATCGGTATTTTCTAAAATTGAAACGTTTAAAATATGTCTAATGAACGCCACAAATTTTAGAACATCTTTTAGACGTTCTCCAACGAGAACATGTTGAAAAATGTCGATTCCACATTTTGATACGATTAAAATTTTGCAGCTATCCTCTCGCAGCTGTGACAGAATTGACGATGGGACCGCGCGCACGATCTATTGTCACTCTTCTTTTAGATCTGACAGTTTTCGGTTGCGGTATTCCGAATTTGCTAGTTGGTGGGTAAATAATAGATACCTTGCATTATATTAATAGGAGAAGTAGAAATTTTGGTCTCATTTTAAAATGTATTTTCCGTCATTTACATCCCCATTTATCATCCCCAGTGTATCCTTTACGCTTTAAATAGAAATAAAGCATTTTCTTGGTATCGTGTTATTTTTTAATGATATATATTCTGTGCATATAAAATATAATCCCTTTGTTACACATAATTTGTCCTCCAGCTTCGCAGAACCTGCATCTATTCGGGCTCAAAATATCGGGACAGCGTTTCGATTTCTCTTTCTGTTATTGGCTGCTAATAGTCGGCGTTTTACTTTGCCCGTTGATGTGGCTGGGCAGTCCGCGAGATATGAAGTAAGATAAACTTTTTTCTATATTATATTATAACTATCATAAATGATAATTTTTGAATCGTTTTATAGATGGGTGGCAACGTGCTCCAGTATCACGGTTACTTTAACAGCGATATTAGTATGGTGGAGCATCATAACTGACGATCGAGCATCATCCAACTTTGCGCCAGTAGTCACTTCACCGACATGGGATAAATTTATTTCCGGGTATACGCAGATTCTATCTTAAGTATAATTATGCAAAATAATGTATATCAAGTATCCCGATTACATGAATGTCCACTTTTGTTTTTGCATAAAATCGAATTTGATCGATTAATTGAAAAAAGTTAATAATTCGAATGAATTTTAGGTACGGTATGCTAGCTTTTCAATTCGACGTGCATCCTACTTTGATGACGATACAGGTTGATATGCGTCAGCCGCGAGACATCGACAGAGCCATATTTTCCTCTTTCTTAAGTAAGAGATGACAAAAGAGAAAATTAATTTTTTCGTATCTTTGTAAATATTAAGGTCGTATACAGGAAAAAAATCTTATTTTTCTCGAAGATTTTAATTTTTTTAGTTCAGTTTAATGTATTGAATAATTATTCACTATTGATTTTTCGATATCGGAATGATCTTATTTATCCAGAGTATATGTACTTTTCGCAAAATACCTGTTTGCTATTCTTGACATTAACTCTTTCTTTTCAGCAAGCGGATCTTTGTTCGCCGTTACCGCTTGCCTAGCTGTGTGGAAGTACGGTGATAATACGACGGCCAATATTCTTGAAGCTATGCCATCGGGATCAGTTGCCGATATCGCTATTCTATTAGCCGCTCTTCAATTATGTTTTTCCAGTGTAATCGGTTACTCAGCGCTCTTCCAGCATCTGGAGGATCACTGGAACGTGCGAAGAAGTAAGCGGCAAAAATTATTTTTTATTGAAAAATTAATTAATAATTCAATTAATTAATCGATTGAATAATTTTAAATTAAATATTCTTACATGTTGGATTCTTCCAGCATTTGGATGGAAACGTTGCGCCATGAGATCGGCCGTGGTTTTACTTAGTGTGGCCGTGGGTGAATCGGTATCACGATTCGATATCGTCATGGCCCTCATCGGTGGATCGTTAACCGGATCGCTGGTTTTCGTGTTACCCCCTCTAATATACAGCCGAGCATTAATTTTAAAAGGCAGGTCGATTCGAGAATCAACTACCGAAGGAAAAATCTGTGTGGGTTCTCGCAAGAGATTCAACAGCGAAGAGCAACGTTCGACAGATTCCGGAGCTCATTCGCGTTCTATCTATTACGGTTTCTTGAATGCCACGAATAATCCTCACAGGTACATAAGGAGTTGCAGATATTTAGACAGAACTATATATAAACTGAGGAATTAAAATAAAAAAAATAAATAAATAAATGCATATTTATTTGGATATATACACTTTTAATATGTAATTTGAAAAGCTTTCATTTTTCTAAACTGTTTTAGATTCATATAATCTATACTTGAATGTTTCGATGTTAAATTTTTGACAATAGATATGCATATCTATACTTTGATGACTTGGACGAAGAGACAAATTCATATTCAAGCGAATTTGTCGATTGCTACAAGGACGAAGGAGAGAAAAAGAATATCATCCAAATTCCGATGATTAGCACTCATCGGGAGGATCAGCCGCTTCTCATTGATGCAGCGGAGCCAACCACAAGTCGAACCACGAAATCTACAGGCGATCTGCAACAAGAGATTGCGGAAATGACTGCGAACAAGAAAAAGTTATGGACTCTCGAAAGAATGATTAATTATCTCGGCTGTTTCATAATAACGATTGGTATAGCGATCACGCTATCTTCGACATACGTCAACATTTGGAACACCATACGTTACGTACGTTTTACACCGCCATGCATCATCAACGCTACAGCAAATCGAGCCTCTACGTCATAGCTTAGTTTTATTATATATACAATTAATAATATGTTTGTTTATATATTCTTAAAGATTCAATACAATTCATTAAAAAATTATTATGCTTAAAAGTTTTTTTTTATTTCGGGATTATATGAGAGAGAATATGTATTAATCTTTTCGTGTGTGCATATATATAATTTTCGAATATATATAACAAACTTGGAGCACACATCACACTCTTATACATTAGCATTTAGTGTAATTTTTTTTTAACAATAATACATTATTATAATAATATACTATTATCACACAAAATTGTTTTATTTGTGGGAATTTCTAGATGAGATATTGGATAAATTCAGGTAAGTATGCCAGATTAAATGCATACAAATGCACGAAAATAAATATAAAAAATATGCTGATTTATTTGACTTAAAATTAGAATTCACATCTTCACTCATCTTCACTTATTCCTATCTGATTTGTAGTAGATTCCAGCATCTTGAATAATACTGTCAGATAAGTCGTCGCTCTAGTACATTCTTAATAAGAAGACTATCTTTAGGAAGAAGACCACCTGTCAGGTTGTATGTACAATTGGAACATTGATGGAACATTGGTAATGGAGATATTGGTGTCATTTACAGGAAGGTGAGTCGTCACAAAAGATATTGAAGTAATATCCTGTTGTAACCACTGAAGGAGATGAATTGTTGTTTGATTTGATATAAATAACAGTAGGCGAAGAAGTTGAATTGGTATGAGAGGTACTAGAGCAAGTAACAGGAGAGAAGGAAGAAGTTGAATTAATACGAGAAGAACTAGCATATGTAAGAGGCAAAAAAGAGATGGATTGGCATGAGGAACACTGACAAGTACCAAGAGACAAAGACGATGGCTAGTCATAAAAAATGGCTAGTCATTAATGCTAGTAGCAGGAGTCAAAGAAGAAGATAGGTTAACATGAGACATATTGGTGTAAATGGGAGGTAAACAAGTGGGTGGATTCATATGAGAAATATCAACGCGAGTAACAGGAGATAATAAAGGAGTTTGGTTGGCGCAAGTCAAAGGAGGCACAAAATTTGGGTTGATATTAGAAGTTACATAAATAGAAGACATAGGGAGATTAAAGTTGACATTGACATCAGGAAGATATGGATACGAAGAAGAAACTGGAGAGGGATTAAGTTGCAATTGAGCCGACGATAAATGAGGATAATAAAAAGGAATTCCGCTTCTTATCCTTAATAATTCCTGTATATCCTTCATTAACAGATAAAAATTAAAATTAAAAAATATATATAAATATATATAGAAATTAAGTTATTGCATACGTAATTAGATTTAAAAAATTTCAGAGCATTATGAAATATTGTTATTTTTACATCAAACAAATACTTTTATGCAAGTTAAAAGTGATATATATTTTTGAATCAATCTTTAATTAATTTTAAATCTAATATAATATATTTAACAACCTGATTCAGCTGTTTAACCTCATCATCACATACATCTTGTTTGTTAATATCATTGTTTTCTTTTGACAAGTGTAGATTAGTAAGATATTTAGCTGCACAAATATGATATGATATAAATAATATAAACTAACATCAATTTGTGGTTTATATGAAATAAAATATTTATTTGATACTTACACTTTTTTCTTTGTGTCCTATCCTGTGACTTAAAATTTCTTGGAGTTGACTTCACTGGTTCCGAGGATTTTTTGTATGGTAAGAATGCATGTTTGTGATTAGAATCATCACTCATAATTCCAAGTGTGAGTAACGAATGCTGCTTTGGTGCATACAAATTTGTTCCTAAAAAAAAAAAAAGAATGAACAAAATATAATATTTTTAACTTTAACACTTTAACTTTGTATATTTACTTAGCTGTGCTTCGCAATTTAATATGGATGGTAACTTTTTGTTGACATGTGTTCTACTTGGAAATATTGTAGATGATGTATTGTCTGCGCTAATTGTCATCAATGGCTTTTAAGAAATCAAAACACATTTGATTATACAAATATAGATATATTCTCTATGACATACAAATTTGATCAAACACATGTAAAATTTAAGATTAAAATATTAATATAGATAATATTCTACTTACTGTTTGAACTATGGGTGCAGACAATGGTGGTGCATCAATAATTTTATTTGGTAATGCTATCTTGTGATGAGTGATGCATTCTCTATTTTTCACTGTTGGATTTTCTTTTATTACTGTATTTCTAAAACAAAACATTGAAAAGATTAAGTTCTCTCATTACACTTTTGGAACCTTCCAACTTTTGCAACATTTTAATCGAGATATAAACCTGTTATTATTCATTTGTTGTATTTTGGCTATCTCAGTCTGTTTTAAAATTTTGTTTGTAACATTAAGCTCTTTAAGCAACTGATCTTTTTTCTCTCTAGATTCGGAAAGATTTTTCTCCAAAATGGAAAACTTTCCATTTAATTTGTTCAATTCTGTTAGAATCTGCTCGCGCTCTTGTTTTTCTTGTCGCAAACGTTCGGCTTCGGTCTCCTGTTCTGAAATAAAGCATATAAAAAGGTAGGAAAGCAAATATAAAAGCAATCATAAAATCAAACAAAATAACATACCTTGCTTCTTCTGTTGCCTTTTTTTCATAATGTAAAATTTTAACTTTGGATTTATTTGCTTTGTTTCTAACTGCAACATTTTTCTCTTAATTTTCTCATAAACTTATCTGATATCACTTAAGTATAAATTATTTATTTTATTTCCACGTTCCTCACAATTTTTCCACGTATCTTCTTTTTCTTCTTTTTCGTAACAGATTTCTCTTCCTTGTGAGCGAGTACTTTTCATTCTGCGTGTTATTAGTACACAAACATGTAGAAATCGAGAGAACATTCCAGCAGATTCCAGAAAGATTTCTCTTTTTGTTATATCCGCAAATGGGAAGACGACCAGAAGATAAACGAAACATTCAAATTCAAAACGATTTACGGTAAGACTTCTTTATCTTGGCGCTATGGGAGATCTGTCAGATAAATCTCACAAAGCTTATGCGTGCGCTGCGCATAGCGTCATCGATCATATGATCTGATTTCTAATGGCGTCTGCTAATTTCACTGCGCAGACGCGAGCATCACCCACTGCCTATGGAGTGATAAGAGCAGAAAATTCTTGGAAAGCTCTTGACAGTGCGAGCTGCCAATCACCGCGCACGAAACTGTCATCTGCGAGTGGCACTCGATTGTCCACATCTCCAATTGGCTAATTCAACATAGGATCTTCTGATTAGTTGATCCAGTGGAAGAATTTCAAGCATCGGTCGTTGTAAATAGCTGTGATCAATCGCAAAGTGGTCGAACGGAACGCTCTCAATCAGATGTCACTCTTAGCAGCTAATGTTATATTCTTCCCATAGACATAGTATATCTAGACCGACCGTTTGCCTTTATTTAAGGAGTGGGGACCGATGCGCGAGAGAGAACGCAAGGGGCACGAAACAGAGTATGTCCTTTTCTACGTGGGCATCGGCCCCCACTCCTCAACACTCGGTCTAGATATACTATGTCTATGATTCTTCCCTTTACTCAGGGGAGTCGCACGTCGCACAGATTATATTTCTCTCCAATTATTTCGCATTCATCCGTATCAATCTCGTTTGCAATTTTGCAAATTATAAATTATAATGTTACAGAGCTACCGTAGCGATATGGGCTCGCAAAATTTCAATAAGCAATATTCTGCAGTAAAAAATATTCAATTGCTTCAATTTTTGCGTTATACGATACGATACGATATGATAGTTGATCGATACCTCGAGAATCATACAATATCGTTTTACGATAGATTTCGAATTGTGATCAATATAATGGAAAGCGAAATATATATTGTAGTTTTGAAATTATTTTATATTCGATTATTTATCGTAGACATAAACACTTTTTTTTTAAATTAACACATTTTTGGCTAATTCGCAATTGCATTTCTAGATTTGATAATTCAAATATTTCTAGATTTGATAATTCAAACATTTTTTTTTCTTAAATTAGCATATTTTTGGCTAATTCGTAATTGTATTTCTAGATTTGATAATTCAAAAAGTTTATCTCCTCTGAAAAAAAAAAGATAAACAAAATATCAGCTTGCACAAGCTGTAAAATTAATTTTTTAGTCTTCTGAATCTCAGAGATTGTGATCAGAACCTTGAACCATATTCCAAATTATTATCTCTACTCTCTCGCTTTCAGCTTATAGTTATGCAATACGGTAGTATACATGGCGAGATAAAGTACTCATTATATATTTATCATACATTTAGCATATGAGAGAGAATTATGACGATAAATTTTACGAAAAAAGAAAGTTCCATAACGAAACCTGGACGGTGGATGGGAAGACAGGTAGACAGGTCTGTAAGAATGTGTATACACAATAAGGCGTTCTTTATTTCTATAAATCTTCCGCTTATCTAGCAACGTATAGAAATACTCGATATTTATTAGTATTGTGTCTAGATTGTATGCCGGATTAATGCGTAGGTAGACAGGTAAATATAACAAATTCCACTCTCTTCGCAGCGCTCGTTAACTCATACTTGTCTCGTCTCAATGCGCGAATGTTCAATGCTCTCGGCGCGGGAGCTCGTAGAAAAAAAAAATAAAATAAAGACATAGAGAAAAGAGAACCGTTTCTCTTTAAAAAAGAACTGTTGCTTTACGCGTCCCCGCCGTCGTCGCCACCAGCCGTCAGCGACTTGCTGTGCTGCTTATCCCGCTTGGCGTTGTGATAGAGGTAGGAGTGTACACGCAGACTATTACTGTTCTTATATTTATTACCACAAAGCTTACACGTGAGACTTTCAAGCGGACCATGTATATAACGGACATGGAGTTTGAGATTCTCCTTGCGCGTGAAGTGACGCAGGCACCACGGACACGCGTACATGCGTATTACCTTGCCGCGCTCCATGCGCAGCGTAGGACCCAGCTCCGAGACGACGCGCAACGTCGTCTCCAGCGGCAGACTGCTGCCCGGGATACCCTTGACGGTACGCCGGCCCTTGCTGCTAGCATTCGCTGTGTCGTATGCGAAGTCGCCTCGAAACGCCGTCACGTTGCTGAAACCTGCTAAAAATAAAAGGATGTGAGAAAATGCTGCACGTGGTTTGTCCGATGTAACTATCGAGACATTATATAAAATGCGAGAAATATATTTTTGATGGTATGGTATATATATGTAAGTGTATAAAGAAAAGGGAAGAGAAAGAGAGAGCGATGGAATTATCATTAATAGTACATAAGCATTGTGCACGATGAGATGCGATTTTTGTGACATTGAAAAGATTAATGCGATAAAAATGGGATATACCTCTGCATAAATTAAATATTGATAAAAGATCGATAAAAGGAAATTGATGACATTATGCTTTTTTTCCATTCAAGACGGTAACAAGACAAGTAACGTGTTCATTTTATATACAAACAATATTACATTCAATGTAAGAGCTATATTTAAAATCGTATGTGCAGATATAATTTCGCGATTTAGATAGGAGAAGATGGGACATCTTTTGACAAGAAACCAATTTACAAGCAATGAAATATAAAACTGATCGTACACATTGTTCTCTTCCATCCATTCTGTAAAGGAATGGATCTTGCGAATTAGTTTTCTCCTCAAACATGCAGCTGATTAAGTTAACTGTGAATTAACTGTGAAAATAAGTAAACTGTGAATAAACAAATAATGCAACAAAGATGTAAAACGTACCGAACGGCTGATTTTGTGAATTCTGATTGTAGGGAACTAACTGCATGTCTGGCGCATAATCTGTAAGATAATACCGCTTTCTCTAAACATTCATGGCTAATGAGATATCTGATGAATGTGGAATATAGAGAATTCGTGATACATCGCTTGCTCGGATTTGAAACACCCATTCGCGTGAACATGCAAAACATGATATTGCATTGATCGTAGAGACTAGATTGACTTTAACCCCCGGCGTTGCAATTTAATGAACGAACCGATTTATATCACATTTCAATGTGACATATAATCAAGAGATATATAAACAGATGTCATAAATATTTTTTGTTGGATCGTTAGAAATTTGTAAGAAGAAATTATCATTTGTTGGAGAAGTGATAGCGAATCTGAGCCGTCGATACTGGCTAGATACCGGGGGTTAATTAAAAAATATGCATAAAAGTGCTTAAGAAACTTGCATCACAATCAAACACGTGATAATGATTCTTAATAACAAAGTACACATCCATCCGTGGCAACACTTGAGAGCGTCAAACCTTTGAGGCGCCGATACCGCTGGTACAGCAAACTTTTCTCTTTGTCGAAGGGCGTTTCAGCTCCGGACGCTCGCTGACATTTCGACGACATCGTCTACTGATAGCATCGCCTTTAAAGTACGAGATGCCAACAGAGCGAGGAGAGAGGGGAAAGATCACTACCTTGTTTCTGTTGCGTGTTCTCCTCGGAATTATAGACTATTTTCTCCGCTGTATATGGTTTGTATCTGGCTTCTGTATCGGTATCCATCCTATAATCCAGTGGCTCGTGCTTCGCTTCCTGCGGCTGATTCACTTCGGACGTGCAATCCAACGGCGACTCTTCCATTCTATTCGATACGCCCTCGATTTTACACGTCTCGCTGAATGCTGTCAATGTGTCCGGGAGATTGTAGTCGCCTTCCGTGCAACCATGTTGATGGCAAGTGACACTTGACGTCTGTTCTGTGAATTGTTTAATTTCTTCTGTCGAATTTTCTGTTGTAGTGTTTCGCCTCGTTGCCGTTGATTGCTCCTCCGTGATGTGCTGTGTCAATCTACCAATAGCGGAAACATTTGTTCCGTCTGTACTGCCGAGATCACTTTTGTCTCTTTCCACATCAAAAAAACGATCCTCAAAGTCTTCGACATTTCTTCCTAGAGTTTCTTCGAGTTTCTACAATGCAGTGATCGACTTTATGAAAGCATGGGCATGTTTTAATAAAATTTCTACAGAGTGCCTTAGAAAAAAATGTGCTTTCTCCTCACCTTTATTTTAAGCTATTATTTTTCCTAAGATATTCTGTATTTTCAAAAAAAATTTCAACTACATTATCACACATACTTCATCTGATTCTGTAGTCAGTCCTTTTATTTGAAGAGTCTCTGCAACCTTAAGGAAGCTGGCAATATCTTCTTGCTTTATATTAACCTCTCCTTGATACATGAAATGTAGCATAGCAGATAAGTCTCGGTAATTGACATCTTTCAGTATGACAATAGGATGTTTGCATGAATTTACCTGTATGTACAAAATACATCAATAAACAGCTATGACAACATGACAAAACGTTGCGACTGTCACTGAGATCAGTACCTTGAAAAGCTCTCTAAAATATGTGCTGCAAACTGACAATATCAATTTGTGTGCTCGTAAGATTTGACCTTCAGCTGCTAGTGTAACATCCACAAGCTGCTCGTCTGTCAACAAAGTGTACAGACCTGAAGAAAGGTTTCTCGGGAAACTGTTCCATACCAAGGAGAATTGTTCCTCAGACATTGCTCCTATATGAAAGATATTTTATATACTTTGACAAAATGAGAGACATTAATATCAGACTTATAAGTACTATATTAAATCACTATTATAATTAACTAGACAGGTACTATTTCACTTTAGTTTCTAACTATGCTACAATACTATAGCTCACCAAATAATATAAATTGTATATGCCAAGATATATTCTATTCTTTAATATATAGTTTCTTTAATATACAGTTTTTTTTAACAGAGTTATCTTTTTTTCCCCAGATTTTTTTTCAAATTTTAGCCGTTTGACAAAGAATATTGTTGTCGCCGGCTAAACTAATATTTATTTACCTTCGAATTTTGTGAAATTCTCGAAAGCGTGCAGAACCGAAGAAATTAACTTTCAATGATCACTTTTGTCGTGCCGCGACAACGATGAGGTTCCGTGACGCAATCTCAGGATCCCCGTCAAACTCTTTATATCGCAATCAGGATAAAGCAAGACTCTTGCTGAGAGATCGGCATAAAACATTCGAACACCGTTCGCACTTTCTCGCGAATGATCCGTGAGGTGCAAAGTTGTGGATGGCGCTTTCGCGTATCGGCGTACAGGTCTGAGTCACTTTGTTATTTGCGAAATTACAAAACCCCAGTGCGCCATAAATCATGCGAGCTCTGGCGCGCCCCGAGATGGCGGCGCGCGATCTCGCGCAATGGCGTCGCCACTTTTTAATATGCCACCTCGATACAAAATAAAATACAAAAAGTATATATACATATACCTACTTGATATATATCTCTCACAATAATAGAGATTATTTTTTTATTCTATCTATAATAAAAAGATTATTTTTTAATATAATAAAAAGGGCTTACATAATAAATAAAATAAAAAAATTATTCTTTCTATTATTGATAACTAAAAACAATAATCTTTCTATTATTAATAATATAAAAAAGATAATCTTTCTATTATTGCGATAATCTATTCAAAGTACTGAGTTAAAAATCTTCATTCTTGTTCGAATTTTGGATAATTCATGGCTCCTTGGATTTATATTAGATCCTTGATCCCACAGATCTTTTAAATATGAAATAATCAATTGTATAGAAATAATCGGATCTATGTGAATCCTTGGTTCCTTTGGATTCTCTTCCATTTATAAATCCTTTGTTTTATCCAATATTTATGGATGTACTTCATGTCAAACGATCAATGATAGTATCATGGCTACTGTTAACTAAACGGAAACATTTCCACAGGCCGTAGCGCGCTTCCCAGTCAACGAAGAACAGTTCCGGCTTGTTCCAGAGAACGTGGTGCACAGCAAAGTTGTACTGGGATTGGATGGGAGGATTTAAGTGCGGCGCCCATTGCGCCCTTTCAGTTACAATTCTGTTTACGTAATCGTAAAATACTTTAGCCCTGTGTATCCAACAGATAAGCGACATGACAGAGATGATCGTAGCGTGCATATGGCAGGCTACTTCCAGGCGATTGTCTTGCTGCTGCAGAACGATCTCTTGCAGATTCATAGCGAGACAGACCAAGGCGGCGGCCGTGAAGCCGCATGGCACTTCAACGGCGATCAGGCACATGGTGCAATATGTCATCTCCAGATTCATCCGTGAATCCGAGTGATTCGCCAGACTTCTCAGCAGGCTGTCGTGCAGTAATTCGCGATGTAACTTGAAGAACAGCCGGTCCTCCTCACGACAGTATGAGATGCGAACATTGAGACGTGTCTGCTCGAAGAAGATCTTGGGCGTATCAAAGATTGCTCGGTTGTTCCTGCGATCCAACAGATACTGCAATACCCGATTGCCCAATAGACTGGTCAGCCGACTGACAGATCCTACCATTCGCATCAGCAGCGGAAATATCGTCGGCGTGAGAGTCTGCTCGTAAAGGCCCGCCCGATGCGTGTAAGCGGCATATTCCAGAGTGCTGCCGAACTCGAGGACAATCTCGTCGGTCACGCCAGCGGCTACCGTCCACGAGCACATATGTTGTACGATCACCAGCAGCTGATCGTTCGGCAAATGCTTTATAGTGTTCCTCAGACAAACCTCTAGGCCCTTCTTGAGACTCGCGTACAAAGCCGAGATAGAAGAGTTGGATGTCGCCGTCAATCGTGCGATTATACTGGCGTAAAAGAGAGCGAGCATCCTCTCTACCGTTGCGACCGTTTCTTGCGTCGCCGGCCACTCGTACACATCCAACAGCTCGTACAGCATCCTGATCATGGCGCGGGCATCTTCGACGGTGATCTCCGGCAACGACAGTTTGTCCCAGACCGCGTGAATGATCAGTCCACCGCTGGCCGAATTGACGTCCAATAGGCTGTACATCAGCTCGAAGCAGAAAGTTTCGAATTCCCAGAGCCGGTCGCGGTGAATGATCTCCACGATCGTCTCCACAACGTCCCGCGATCTTTCCGGCAAGTAACCTTTCAGCAGAGCGTGATAGCAGTCACGGGCGATCTTGAACCTCCGTCGACGCTTCCAGTCGCACAGCCCGTTCGTATGCAGTAGATTCTCGTAACGCAACAAGATTTTCAGCACGCTCGTGACGAGTGCTTGAGGATGACGGGACTGCAGTTGCTCTCTCGTCGCGTTTTTCACGATTCTTACGATCATATCCAGAATCTTATCTTGTTGAGTCGGCGAAACAATGGTCGAGAGGCTCTGGGAGATATCATTCACTCTCCGCGCGAGATCTTCATCGGTGATCATCGTAAAATCAAGATAGAAAAATTGCTAGAATCTTGAAGATCTCAGAAAACGCCGATGATAAAAGCCGGCAAGCGCCTAGAAAATGAGATATGGAAAATTAGAAATGGAGATATTACGAAAACAATAATATTAATATAAAAAATATGTAGAAAAATGATATAAAGATATGTAGAGAGATAAATTAAAATATTTAAAAAGTATATATTTTATATGTAGGTTAAAATTTAACTTTCAATTTTTTATGTAGATTCAAAGATATGAAGTTGCAGCTTGTATTGCGTTAAACATTCATATCTGATTTCACAACGTCCCGCGATCTTTCCGGCAAGTAACCTTTCAGCAGAGCGTGATAGCAGTCACGGGCGATCTTGAACCTCCGTCGACGCTTCCAGTCGCACAGCCCGTTCGTATGCAGTAGATTCTCGTAACGCAACAAGATTTTCAGCACGCTCGTGACGAGTGCTTGAGGATGACGGGACTGCAGTTGCTCTCTCGTCGCGTTTTTCACGATTCTTACGATCATATCCAGAATCTTATCTTGTTGAGTCGGCGAAACAATGGTCGAGAGGCTCTGGGAGATATCATTCACTCTCCGCGCGAGATCTTCATCGGTGATCATCGTAAAATCAAGATAGAAAAATTGCTAGAATCTTGAAGATCTCAGAAAACGCCGATGATAAAAGCCGGCAAGCGCCTAGAAAATGAGATATGGAAAATTAGAAATGGAGATATTACGAAAACAATAATATTAATATAAAAAATATGTAGAAAAATGATATAAAGATATGTAGAGAGATAAATTAAAATATTTAAAAAGTATATATTTTATATGTAGGTTAAAATTTAACTTTCAATTTTTTATGTAGATTCAAAGATATGAAGTTGCAGCTTGTATTGCGTTAAACATTCATATCTGATTTTATAAATCGAGTTTTCGAATGATATTATGTAGCAAAGTCCAAAATTAAAATTTTTTATCTCTCTCTCTCTCTCTCACCCCCGCCGATAAGAGAAAGATAAAGTAATTAAAAAGTCTGTTTATGAGCATAAGTAAAAATGATTCGATATCATTTATGAAAAATTTTACTTATATAAATGTAGTAAAATGTAAACGATATGTACGTACACTGCGTCATAGTGCAAGATTGTCAATACGCTAAAGTAGAAAAAAAAACACATTTTATTTTGTATTTACAGATTTCTATACAATGTATGCACATAATGTACGAAGAGTAAATCTTACAACTCTTCTCTTGAATGATACAAGATGAACTTGCGGACTTGTGAATCCTTAACCGTGTGTATATCTACCCATCGTTAGATATATAAATCTCATGTCGCTTCAACAAAGTAACAAAACGCGCGTTTAGAACCACAAATCGCCGCCAACATCCTCGTCCGGTTGCGACAGTTGTTGTTGCTGCTGTTGGTTTTGTTGCGCCTCCTGCTTCGGAATGGTGCTCTCGGCATCGTCGTCGCTCTCGGAAACAGCCAGATCGTCTTGGATCTTATTCTCGCTTTTATCATCTCTAGCCGGTAAACCGGCCAGCAGAAAGTCCGACGGATCATAATTCGGATCGACGTCCATGCTCTCATCTGCGAACATCAAGACCAAAGTTTGATTTAGCAAAGATCCAATACAATTACGTCATTCACCGATTGAGAAATCCAACACGATTCGAAATGACCAAACAATTCGAAAATTCATTTCATTTTCGAGAAGAATCGTGTTATTTATTTATCCCAAACCGTTTCTTGTATACTATATAGGCTAATATTTTTAATAATATTTAAAAATATTTTTAAAAATATTTATAATTATTTGTCTCTTTTGAATTATCTACGTCTGTGTAAAGTTCCAAATTTTTTTTTAAATGATCGATTAGCGAACCAAGCGATAGAGGAATCAATTATCGTTCGACCGTTTGAAATTTTATTTCTCAATCTTTTATACTTACCTTGCTGAAGCAGTTGCTGCTCGCCTACATAAAAACCGACGTTACCTAATTGGACCATCGCCTCGGCTGCTTGTTGGCTATCATCATCCGCTAGTACAACACCTTCCTCCCTGACCTCGGTCAACTCCAGCGTCTCCATTTCGTTTTGTCCGGAATGTTCGTCCGTAACGAAGGGCACTTCATCGAATTCATCTTCACTGGAGAATTGAAGATCTGGAGTAGAAAAAGAAAGAATATTTAACAGAACTCTTCCAATTTATATAAAATAAAATTTAGATTATACTACTTTACCTTCTTCGAGCACATCTTTCTTTTTGGAGTTTCTATCAACGTCCGTTTCCATGTCTCCTTCGACATCTACGAAATCGAAGTCATCCATGTTCGACTTGCCAAATGGATTCTCTGGAGAACTGGTCTGACTCTGAGAATAAATTCAATGTTGAATAAAATGTAGAAGAAATTAAGAGTTGTATATTAACATATAATAAAAAATTAGCAAAGGCTTGATATAATAAAATATATAAAATATATGCTATAGACATAAAAAATATTAAAATATTAAATGTAAAAATTATAATATAATATTACATTTCTAAATTCAGATTCTGTGATAGTATAATTTTCGTCTTCTGGACCAAGCCACGAAGAATCCATATCAGCTTGCTCCATCGCACGTTTTTGCACGAGCAGTATATTGTTCTCCAGTTGTGTTAGATGTTCATCGTACTAAAATATAATAAGTTCATCATCGTCTGCAACTTTTCGCTTCAGTAATTTCTTATTTCTATTATACTCTTAATAACTTCTATATATTTACTTAATTTAAAAATGTATGTACCTCATCTAATGTTTCTTTACACACTTTAACCAGTAATTCTGCCTTATTTGTGAGCGGAGAATCCTTGCCATTATAAAGCGTGCAATTTTCCAAAATCTGTTCGATATCTCTGAGAAATTCGTGACGACTGTGATATTTATGTGCTAAAAAAAAGGTTTTAAAAATAGACTAGGATTAATTTTTTTAAATAAATAAAAATTTATTCAAAGCATGTAAATCTTTTCTGTACATAAATTAAAGACAAAGACTTAAGTTTCTTACCCGAAACTTTTTTGGATATCGTTTCCAAGTCCATTGGTTTCTTCACGATACTGTAATAATCTTTCACCATCTTTTTATTGACAGGTTTCATAAACGGCCACACTTCAATCATAGATTTCAACTTGTTGTTAACAACATTATCCAAGATGAAGGTGAGGGCAACTTGGTCATCATCGTCCAGAAGAGGATTGATGGCCTTCTCTAATCTCATTAAACGATCCTCCTTCTCGCCAAGCCTTTCGACGCATGTATCTAGCATTCTTTTGGCAGCCACAGTTAGCGAACTCTTCGCTCCGTTATAAAGCGTCGAGTTTTCCACAATTTGATTAACATCTGCTAAAAACTCTTCTCTACTTTGATACTTTTTCAGCCTCAAATTCTCACGTATGGTCTGTAGATCCATAGGTCGTTGTATAATCTTATGATAATCGGGAACTGCCTAATGACAAATAATATAGATAATATTTTATGTGAGTTTTAAAAAAGATATTTTAAATAAGTATCATTTAAATCTGTATATATACATAAGTTTATAGTTATAGCTAAATTTTAATTCAATTTTCATTCAATTTATATTACAGACATTAGTTCAATCTTTTCTTTTTATATTTTATATAAAAAGCTCTTATTCTCTCTTATCAAGACTTTCAGCTTTATCCTCGAATAGTTGAAATCAATGCATTGGTAGTAAGTTAAAATAATGTTTACTTTTGCATTGACTGGAAATAAGAAAGGCTGTACATCCGGCAAATCCCTCATTTCATTTAGAATACTCTCCAACATCGTCGACATTACAACAACTGGATCAGTCCTACGTCTGTTGACTGGCCTTTGATGACGTTTCAAGTAATCACAGTGGTCATCAGTGGGTGGTTTCCTGCGTTTCTTCGAGTTCACTGCTTCCTTCGGCACTTTGAGTACCAGTGCACGCCTCTTCACCTCCTCGGCATGCTAAAACAAACCAGATATTCGTTTACGATCTCTTTTAGATCTCTCAGATCGTGCTTATCTAGAAAAAAAGTGGGTATAAATTCAGACTCATGTTAAACCCACGAATCACCTTGATCAGTTTCGACGACAGCTTCACTTTGGTGCCATCGACATTTACCAAATCCTGATCGTCGGTGTTCAATTGTTTTTCGATCTCTTCCTCTTGCTCCTCAGTCATCGCGACATTGACCGGCGCAGTGGCGATGCTGTTTTGGTAAAGTGGGCAGGCCTTATTGGTGCGCATGTGACCGACGTTGCCGCAAGCGCCGCACTTAAGTTTTAGATCTGGCTTGAGTTTAGGCTTTTTGCGCTTGGGAGGTGACACCTCCGGTTTTGGATGTTTAGGTGTAGTGGTAGTGGTAGTGGAAGAAGATGGGAAATTAGAGAATGGAAGGATACTGGTCGAGGAAATAATATTGCTGCTCGGAGTGTTGGTGTTGCTGCGATCGAATATATTGTTGCTATTATTGTTGTTACTCGAGTTATTGATGGCGCTGCCGTTCACGATCGGTCCGCCCATCATACGCTCCCTCTCCTGATTTCGCTTGATCCGCCGCAACTGCTCTTGCAACCTACGTTTCTCCCGCTTCATCTCCTCTTTCTGCGCTTCGTCCAACGTGGCGAACTGCTTGATAAACGTCTCGTCTTTCGAGTTACGGATCTTAAGGTACGTATCGATTACGGCCGGCTTCCTCACCAATTCGACCCGCGTGTATTCTTTGCCCTCCGGATTGCGGAAGGTACGGTAGATTTTCAATACACGACCTTGCTGCGCATTAAAATTGTTAATCGGACTATCTTCCTCCTCGTCCTTCTTTTTATTTTCCTTGCCCTTCTTGTTCTCCTGTTCTTGCGCCTCGCCCATCAGCATCTTTCGTAGCTCTTGTCGCTGCTGTTCTTCCCGCTCCAACGACAGTTGCGTACTAGTCTTTTTATTCGACAGCATGTTCTCAATGTTTTTACCCATTTCCTCGATATCCGAGCTGTCTTCTTCCGAGCTCTCACCCTCATCCGTACTCAGTACCTCGTTTGACGACAGCACGCGGTTCTGCAGATCGAAGATACGCTGGCACTCCTCTTTATAA